TAAGTTTAAGTCCTATTAATTTTATTATATTGGATTTTATCAATCTCTAAAGTAACATAATTACTTTTAATTTACTTAAAATAATTAACATAATTTTAAGTAAATTATAATCTTCAGCAATATTAATATACCTTCATAATTTATCAAATACATATTTTAAAGTATACAATTCAATGATTTTTAGTATATTCACAGTTGTGCAACTATCACCACAATCTAAGTTTAAAACAGTTTCATCACCCCCAAAATAAATCCATTCCCAATTGCCCCTATCCCTCTAGGCAACCACTAATCTATTTTTGTCTCTATGGATTTGCCTATACTATACATTATATATAAATGAAATCATACAATATGTGTTCTTTTGTGACTGGCTTCTTTTACTTAGTATGTTTTTAAGGTCATTTATATTGTAGCATATACATGAGTATTTTACTACCCCCTTTTCCCCCTGTGGTGTCAGTTGTTACTTCTTCCCTTTTATTTCCAATTTTACTTATGAGTCTTTCCAGTCTTTTTCTTCATGAGTCTGGTTAAAGGCTTATTAACCTTGTTTATCTGTTCGAAGAACCAGCTCTTGGTTTCGTTGATCTTTGGTATACATTTTTTAGACTCTATTTTGTTTATTTCTACTCTGACCTTCCTTATACTCACTTTGTAATTTGTTTCTTGTCCTTTTTCTAGATCCTTAGGTGTAAGGTTAGATTGAGATTTTTCTTGTTTCTTGAGGTAGGCCTATATTGCTATGAATTTCCCTCTTAGGACTGCTTTTGCTGTGTCCCATAGGTTTTTGGTAGTTGTGTTTCATTTTCATTTGTCACAAGATATCTTTTCATTTCTTCCTTGACCTTATTGTTAACCCATATATTGTTTTGTTGTCTTTTTGTTTTGTGTTGTTGTTTTTTGCCTTTGATCATATTTTTATTCAAAATTAGCTGTCCAAAGTGATTTGACCGTTATGGAATAAACAAATTTAAGTTTATGCCACAGGCTTCTTTTCTTCTGTGGTGGGTTTCTTTTCTGTGGGCTTCTTTTCAACTGCTGGATTCTTGATAGCTGCAGCCTTTTTCCCCACCACAGGTTTCTTCTGCTTCTTAAGGCCAACAGTCTTCTTTCCTTTCTTCCCTACCACCAGCTTCTTGCCTGGAATCCCCTTCTCACCTGATTTTGGCTTCTAGCACTGCTGCTGCTTTATCCACCCAAAGCCTGTGGTTCTTGGCCTGGCAAAGAATGGTGTTCCAGCGCATGGTTTTTGAATATGGGTTTAGCTTCAACATGATTCTCAGGTTTTTCAGTGAATTCTTCTTCAGGACTCTGCAGTGAATCTTCTTGCGTGGTGCTCAGAGGGCTCTTTGGATCTCTGGACTTTTCAAGATTCTGCTAAGGTCTGAATTGAGCATCTTGTGCATGGGAAAGCTATAGTTACTCTTGAGGGAGGCAGCTTTATACCAAGTGCCATACAGTTCATCTAACTTGTGGAAAGCACTTTCAGTCCAAATGCAGAAAACGGCCCACATCCCTCCAGGAGCAAGTTTCAAAATGTTCAGTTTGCCTACATTAAGCAGAGTAATTCCAGGGATGTTTCTGAAGGCTTTGATGATATCATTGTCCTTATTATAGATGATGCAAGGTCCCTTGTGCTGTATATGATGATGGTTTCTCATTTTGCCCTTGCCAGCTCTCATTCGCTGAGAGGCATAGACCTTTTTTTATATCATTCCAGGCCTTAAGTTTCTTTTAATTTTTTAAAAATATATTTTTATTGATTTTAGAGAGGAAGGGAGAGGGAGAAATAGAAACATCAATGATGAGAGAGACTCATTGATTGGCTGTCTCGTGCACACCCCCTACTGGAGATGGAGCCCACAACCCAGGCATGTGCCCTTGACCGGAATCGAACCTAGGCCCTTCAGTCCGCAAGCTGATGCTCTATGTACTGAGCTAAACCTGCTAGGGTGGCCTTAAGTTTCTTAAGAGGCAAAACAGACTCCTTGTAGCCTTCAACTTTATTTTCAACCACCAAAAGAAGTTCAGGAACTTCTTCAATACGGTGACCTTTAGACATGACCAGTGCTGGTAAGGCCGAGACAGCTAAGGGCAGAGCAGATGGCGTATCGTTTCTGTGTTGTGTTTACTCTGTGGTGCCAACGGTGCCAGGTTTTGGTTGGTGCAAACATGTGGCCCCCATGACACATATTTCCAAAAGCACCCTGGCCAGAATGATGAGTTCCACTACCTCGGACTCTGAGAATTCGAGCCACAGCTCTGCCAGTACCCCACGACTTGCTCTGCCAGTACCCCAGGACTCGGCATTGGTTTGGTGACCTGCCAATTTACTGACAGTATAGGGCTGTCTATTGCTTTTGCACAAGGTGGTGTGAACACAGCTCACAATATCTGGTTGAATGGGAGCCTTGAATACAGAAGGCAAAGTGGCATTTTTGCTAGATGTTTCCCCCTTTTTGGAGTACACAGATATCAGTGGACGAGCACACGCAATGGTGGGGAGAGGAGAAGGCCACATTCCTCTCTACCCAGCGGCTCCCATAGGAAAAGGCAACCCATATGTTGTTTGGCAACATGTCATTTAGCTTCCATTTGTTTGTATGTTTTCCAGTTTTTTTTCTTGTAATTGATTTCTAGTTTCATACTATTGTGGTCAGAAAAAATGCTTGATATGATTTCAATCTTCTTAAATTTATTAAAATTTGTTTTGTGGCCTATCCTAAAAAAAGTTCCATGTATTCTTGAAAAGAATGTATATTCTGCTGCTTTGGGTATAATGCTCTAAAAATACCAATTAAATCTATCTGATCTAATGTGTCATTAAGGCTGCTATATCTTTTTTTATTTTTTTTGTCTTATAGACAGCATATACAGGGTGTCCCAAATATATATAAATGTATATACACTCTAACAGCTGATAGCTCAATTTTGAAAATGAAATGTACAGTATTTTAATAAACACTGCCTTTGTAATTATTCAAAGTGTGTGCCTACATTTTTTTTGGATACCTATATATGGGTCTTGTTTTCTTATCCATTCAGCTACCCTGTCTTGATTGGAGCATTTAATCCATTTACATTTAAAGTGATTATTGATAAGTAGTATTTATTGCCATTTTATTATTTATATATTAATGTTTCTTTATTTCTTTCTTCTTAAAGATGTCCTTTTAACATTTTAGCAGTCCCAGAATGTACACTATGTAACAATGTCATCTAAACTCTCCATATATGTTAGTTGTGACCTAATGATCTACAACTACCAAAATGCAATAACTGATATCTATACTAATAAAAGAGTAATATGCTAATTAGACCAGGAGACCTTCCTGATGTCCTTCTGGACAAAGCCATGGTGGCGGGGCCGAGGCAGAGGCAGTTAGGGGTGATGAGGCCAGAAGGGGAGGGCAGTTGGGGGTGATCAGGCTGGCAGGGGGGGCAGTTGGGGGCAAGCGGACCAGCAGGCAGAGTGGTTAGGGGCGATCAAGCAGGCAGGCAGGGGAGCAGTTAGGAGCCAGTGGTCCAGATTGCAAGAGGGATGTGGGATCGGGCCTAAACTGGCAGTCGGACATCTCTCAAGGGGTCCCAGGTTGGAGAGGGTGCAGGCCGGGCTGAGGGACACCCCCTCCCCCCATGCATGAATTTCGTGCACTGGGTCACTAGTTAGTAATGACCATCAGATATCAAGAAAAGATAATTATCATTTTCAGTATGTTCTGTTTATTTATAGCAAAGAACATTTTTTTCAAATATTTTTGTTTAAAACAACTCAAAATCGTAAGTGCAAGTATTTAATGGACTAACTTATCTAAGACACTTTATCCAGAACTTTTGCCACTACTATGCATGAAATGTAGGCCTGCATAACTAGCAAGCACTTTAGTACTTTACACCTCCCTATTAAATTTTATTTGGTTAAACCAAACCCCAACATTACAAAATGCTATAATGAATTATAGTTAGACTAGATGGACAAGCAGCAAATCATATCTGGAATATCAGCTATCAGACGCTGGACTTCACTATTTAAATACCTCAAGGTAACCACCTTACTCATTTTCAGCTATTGGGGAGGGACAGGTCATAAGTTATAATTCTTAACAAAGGTTTTTAATGCTATACTCCCGAGGATGCTCTGTAGGTGTGCACACGGGGTAAGTGTCACAGGCCGATGTCTGCAATCCACATGTTCTCCATGTTTTACCACAGGGGTTAAACTTTTTTTCTGTAAATATTTTCGGCTTTGCAGGCCATACTGTCACTGTGGCAACTACCTAACTCGGATGTTATAACAAGGAAAAGCAGCCATGGACAATACATAAAGGAATGAGTATGGCTATGTTCCAATAAAACTTTGTTTATGAACAATGAAATTGGAATTTCATACTTTTCACATTTCACTAAAGATCACATTTCACATTCACCCTTAAAAATGTCAAAACCCGAAGGACTTGTATGCATGCATATGAGCATGACCAATGGACATAAGACACTGGGGGGTAGGGGAGGCCAGGGGATTGTCAAGGGCGGGGGGAAAAAAGGACACATATGTAATACCCTTTGTAATACTTTAAGCAATAAAAAAATTTAAAAAAAATGTCAAACCATCCTTAGCTAGCCAGCCATACCAAAACAGGCCGCCTTGGCCCGGCTGCATTTCACGCACCCTGCTTTACCCCATGCGCAGTGACTCTCCGGCAGCAGGGGGCCGCGTTAACATCAAGGACCGTCTCCGCCGGGGGAAGGAGGTCCATGTGCCCCATGTGCCCCGCCGGTGCATCCTGGGTCAAGTCTGGGACCCAGGTCACTGCGTGGCCAGGCCAGCCTCGCAGCGTGCAGGAAGGGGAGGAGGGACACACCTCAGCCTCGGAGGCCAGGACCCTGGATAGTGAAGTTTGGGAGGAATGTGGGACCAAGGAAAGAAGAGCCGGAATTCCGGCGGGACCCCGAAGGTTCCCCTGGGAGTATCCTGCAACCTCAGGCCGGTCACTCACTTGGATACGCCGGCACAAACGAAGGCCATGTCAACAGCGCAACTAGAAGGACTAAGGACTTCATGGGCATCTTCCGCAGCACTCCGCCATGCGACGGGAACGTCCTGGGCCACCAGGCCGGGTACTTCAGGGCCAAAGGGCAGGGTGTAGGCGGCCGACGGTCCTAACTCAGGGCCCTGGACGCCCCGCAACGGTTGTTTGCAGCGCGCAAGCGCAGCTGCAGCCAGTGTGAGGCGGACACGAGCGTCTGGGCCCACCCCCTCTTGGCCACGTGACCATGCCACGCCCTGGCTGCCCTGGCTGCCCTGGTGCGCATGCTCTCTGCCTGCGAAGCTTTGCCTGGGCCCGCCCCCTCCTGGGCCACGTGACCATGCCACGCCCTGGCTGCCCTGATGCGCATGCTCTCTCTGCCTGCGAAGCTTTGCGACTGTGAGAGCCTCGGAAAGTGTCGACGCCCCGGCAGGTGCTCTCGCGGATTGGGGGGCCAGCTCGGCCCATCGGGGAAGCTGACATGTAACAGCCCCTAAAGCACGTCCCAGCCGCAAGGAACTGTAGGAAGAGACAAGTACCTGGCCACTGCAACAACATAAAGGTGTTATAATGAGGAAGTGTTAGGCACTGCGGAGTGCACCTCTGTGTGCCCCCCTCTCCAAAAGGGTTTGAGGAGGTTGTCTAGTTGGAAGAAAGCTTGGAGCTCCCCAAGAACTGAAAATAGATCACTCCAAGGGGCGGGGGCAGTTGCTGGAGGTGGGGTAGGCAGAGGCATTAAAGCCGCTTTAAGGGGCTTGGGTTTTGTTTTACTTTTTCAAAAGATTACATTCCTTTTTTTCCCTTTCTTTCTGGTTTTTTTTTTTCTTTTTCTTTCAAAAGACAAACCTATAGCTATGGAGAATAGATCGATGGTTGTCAGGGGGTCAGGGGTTAAGGATGGGGGAGGGCGTGATTATAAAGGAAGAGCATGAAGGAGTTTTTTGAGACTGATGGATAGTTGTGGTGGGCACAGAATCTAAGTAAACATGTCATAAAATCCATGGAACGGTACACAATAAAGAATCAATTTTACTGTGAGATAATTTCTTAAAATTCACCTCTAACTGCTGCCTCAGGAAGCAAGGAGCTTAGATTTTATTCTGAGGCATTGGGGACATACTGCAAGGTTTTGAGCTGGCAACTGTGTAATTAGATTTGCATTTCAGAAAGCTCACTTCACGTAGCCAGTGGTTGGCAAACTGCGGCTCTCGAGCCACATGCGGCTCTTTGGCCCCTTGAGTGTGGCTCTTCCACAAAATACCACTTACAGTGCGATTGA